AAAAAAAAAAAAAAGACTGAGCGAAGACTGATGCGACTCTAGAAGGCAATCCAACAGTCTTAGCCTGTCTAGTTAACAGAACGGAGAATTCAGTTTCAAATGCCAAGTCTCACAAATGTAGGTGGAGCACTTCCCCAGAGAAAGGTTTTCCCCTCTACAGAAAAGGTGCAGTAATTCAGTGAGGGAGTATATATGTGAAGCCACCCAGAAGCTTCGCCTAAGAATGTTCTTCAGCATATAAGTGGAAATAAGGTAAGAACCACACTATAACTCCTATCAACTCTCCCTAACTTGGTCATTCCAACACCTGGTCATTCTGAGTATGTTACTATTCACTCTAGAAACAAGTGACATACTGTTTCCTTTTAGGTTTTAATTAAACTACAGAACTAAAAATTAAGTTGCTGAACGTTAGCTTTAAATGCTCTTAATTTGGATAATCTTTGAATATAAACGCTTTGGTTTGTAACTATTTAAGTTTTATTTATAACTAGAGAGTTTAGCTGATGACCAGAGGAGTTCCTAGGGCTGAAGAGCAGCTCACTTACCTGCACCTTCTTTCACAAACTCGACACCATCTTCTAGAATCAGGCTAGCCAACAGGATAGCTGCTGGCCACATGGTTCTCAAGCAGATGAAATGTGATTATTCTAAATTGCAAGGTGCTTTCAGTATAAAATACACACCAGATTTCTTTCAGCTGCTACCAGGATAACCAAAATCTCATCAGGAATGTTTTAGATTAGTTGTGTGTTGAAATGACATTTTTAACATATTGGGTTAAATAAAATATATTAGAATTAATCTCATCTGTCCTGTTGCTTTGTTTTCAATGTGACTACTTGAAAATTACACACCATGTTATATTTCTTTCAGTCACCATGAACCATGGTGATTGGTGAACAAATCACAAATTTCAAGATATATAGGAGGTGAATCTGAGGCCATGAAAAACTAATATAGCAAATGAAAAAAGAGCCGCTAGTCTAGGCAGAGAGCAAGAAGGAACAAAGGAAAATGTCAGGGGATAGAGGAAGTCTTAAATGTTAGACCAGCAGTGTATGTTTTAATGATCAGTAAGTGATGGGAACTCTAGGTGGTTTTCAGTAAGAATGAAGCCATCCATCAGGAGAAATTACCCACACATCACACTACCACCATGGCCAGCAGCAATCAATACCTGAAAGGCTGAAGTACCAGGTAAAAGTTGTACCAAGTTTTAAGATACACTTATTTTAACATTTCTTTAGTCAGAAAACATCTTTAAAAAGCATACATTCAAAAACTGCTACCATTCACTCTTCAATTAATACCATTTCAGAAAAAAGAAAAAAGCAGGTGAATCTGTATCTATATATAGACACACATGTACTGTGAATGTGGGTTCTGACACACATGCCTATACTTTGTGATACCCAACAATTAGATACAACTTTATTATCCCATTTTACAAAGTAGGAAATGAGGCTTGTGGTTAAGCAATGTGCAAAAATCAAGTGATGCCAGGATGTGACTACAAATAGGACTTGAAAGGCAAAGCTCAGCCATCAACATATACTACTGCTGCAGGAGATTTTAGTTCTATGCTTCCCTCAGCATCCAACTGCTCACAGCCAGGGGTCCATCAAGGTGGGGGGGGGGGACTGCCATGAATGTAAAATTTGGTGGGGGTGCACTTTCCCCGCAAAGGGTCAGTTTTCACTCACATCTCAAAAGCTACCTGTGACCAGACTCCTGTGCCTCTGTGTTCTTACACCTGCTTTTTCCTGCCTTTCTTGTGCAGTCAGGCATCCATCCCCCTTTGCCACACTAAGTTACCGCTGGCGTATCCTCCTCCTGTTTCTAACACATAGGTTTAGAAACCAGATGGCATGCAGTATGGCAGGTGGAGGAAGTCCAAGATGGAGAGTCCAGACCCTGACCCTGCCCTGCCCGAGCGACACTGAGCAGGTTCCCGGCCTTCCTGAGGGCCGTGGAGCTGCTGCAGAGACCAACAATAACCCAGCCCACTATCAAAGGGTTCAACAATATGAGCACAGCATGGCCAAGGGGTCAGTGAGCACGCCACCAGGTCAACAGGGGGCACTGTAAGAGAAATGATCCTTTCAGCGGTGAAGTTTTTAATTGCACACTTTTTTGCCGGTGTTGTAGTTTCTTTTTCCTGGCTGTTATTTAAGAGCTTTGGAAGTGGACCTCCAATCCAACTCGTCCGTGTGCTATTTCTCTATAGTTTGGACACCAACTAGAAGAGTAAGTGCTTCAAACTGTGGAGCTGTGGAGCTGTGCAGGCCCTAGAGGTGGGCGAGTTTTCTTCTCGCTAACCAAATCAACTGCTTTGAATGTCAGAGGAGAAAGAGCTCAGAACCCAGGTTGCAAGATTAAGTCTTCACAATAAACAAAGAAGCAAAAGAAATGAATAAAAACATTATGTAAAAAATGTGATCAAGTCACACACTAACTACAAAACATCCAAGCCCCTGGAATGCACAGCAAAAAAAAAAAAAAAAACGCAAAAGGCAAAGTTATCATGGTCCCGCATAACAGACCATACAAGAAAACCAAACAGCCTGGAATTTCTGGTTTCTATGTTTGGGAAAAGGCAAACCACTAATGACATCCAAAATTTAGTACAAAAATACAAAGCTTCGTTCCAGATGCTGTTCTAGATTGCACACAGTCCCCTCTCCATCTGTGTGGGAATAGTTTCCTTTCTCTCCTCCCCACAAGCACTTTCCAAACATTACATACTGTGGAGGAACCCCCAAATTACCCCAACCCAGGCACTGTTTTCAAAGTACTGCATAAGGATGCTTAAGCGCCACAAAATTAAGTGTTTTAAGGAGAATTTTAGGATAAAGGAGTTTCTGCGTAATCCTCAACTATCCAAAAAATTAAATAAAAACTGCTTTCACTGTCTTATAACTGTCCACATCACATACTTGTTTTCCAATTACTTCCTTCAAATAACTTATAATAATGTAACTCTGCTTTGCTCTTTGTATTCTCATGGAAAAAAAAAATTTTAAATAAAAGGCAACATGGGAGGAGAGAAATCTGGTTTTTGACTCACTGACTTCACTGTAGGTCAAGATGCTTTACTGGGAAAAGCTTCAAGGAAATGTGGTTCACATACCAAGTCTTGGCATAACTGCTCCCAGAAACTGCTCATCTTCTTGGAAGTGGTTCTCCTGTAAGGATTCCAACAATTTCTGCAGGACATCTTGGGGCACTTTGCAGCCTGTGCCCTTGAGTTCAGTGAATCTGGTTAGCCGAAAGCTCTTGTCCAATTCATAACTTTCCGGGTTAAAGGACTCCCGCGTAGACATGGTTCTTGGGTGCACACACCTCAAGGCTGACTCCTCCCTTCCTTCTCTAGTCAGCTGGTTACTTTATAGATCCACCTGGGTGCACCAAAACACAAAGACACCATTAAAAGAATTCTCAAGAGTACCTCCCAGGTTCCAAAGGACTCCATGACAGTAAAAAGTACATGTGAGAAAAACTGCCATCACTAAGCCCACTAGGTAAGGGCAGTTTAGGGCCACAACAGTTCCTCACAGTGATATATAATCAGAACAAGCCATTTTAAAACATGACTATACCATTATAGATATCTTCTAGGAAGATCTGATGTCTGGAGTGTTGTTATAATGGAGAGTCCAGGGGCAAGGAGGAAGTCCTCCTCTGAAGAAGGAAGGGTGACCAGCAGCTGACATGAATGACACAGAACCCAAAGTTTCTTTTAGGCACTTCATCTGTCAACCTGGAAGGACTATGTGTAGAAATTAGACCTGGTAAAGTGAATTTTCTGGATAATCTTTTTTTTTTTGCATAGAACTGGGGTGCAGGCCAGAGGTATGGGGCGGTAGGAGAATTCACCAGAGACAGAGTGGGAATTAGAACAGACAGATCCACTAACAAAACAACCTTTTAATTTCTTTCGCTAGTTCATAATAGAACCAAAAAAAGCTAATAAAATTGTGCGGTATAGTGGGGGAAATGACATGGATGGAAATTAATTCTTCATGATGCTAAATCCCATTTTAGAAAAAACTTTTTTCACTCTGACCCAAAAGTATTCAAGATTCAAAACTAATAGGAAGCCTCACTAAAGAATACAACTTAAAAACTAGAATGGCTTTAACACAGCAAGGTTCATTTTCTTCAAGTGAGCAGTGGAAAATTCTCTGATGTTTTAATGCAGTGTTACTTCCTAGAAAGCAAACATCCCGCCCAGCAAACTAGCACACACACATCATTGACAAACTATGTTAATGCTCATTGCTTTTCACTGCAGAACTGTACTAAATTACTAGCATTTATGCTTACTTGGTACCACCAGAAGTTTCTGGAATGAGTTCTTCTAAGGTTTAAGTTATTAGGGCTCAACCAAAAACTTAACACATGCTCCTTCGGGTGTATAAACCTCCAGAATGATACTTTATTGGGCATGGAATTACAGATGCCCCAAATTTTAGGGTCAGTTTCCCCTATAAAATTTATGACTAAAAACAATTCCCATTTCTAGTTTTCAGGCCCTTGGGAAGCACATCACTCATTTAAAATAAATCTCACAAAGCCTGAATTTGGGCAGTAATCCAAACTGTCTTCACCAAAAGCATATTTGGGATGAGCAATGGTTTTTGTTTGAAACCTACAACGGTAGAGGAGTAAACCTTCCAAAATAGCAATAACACAATGTGAGTAAAGAGAGGGCAGCAGGAGAGCAAACCAAGTTACCCAGATGGGCGGTTTGAAGCCATTTTAAAGTTAGGAAAAATCTAAAAGCACTCAGACTTGGAGGGATTTGGAACAAAAACAAGAGTCCTTTCCTTCCCAAATGCCTCCCGTTCAACATCGCCTCACTCTTACCAGGAAAATAAAATCCAACTCTCTAAGCATTCAGTTATTTTTCTACTTCCAACCCGCATGCAAAAAAGGGAGGAAAACAAACCGCGGAGGGGAATTTGGAGGACTAATTTCCTTTTAAACCTATTTCCCCAAATTTCTGTAGAGAAAAAAAGCTTAAAACATCTAAGCCCATAAAGCACTCAGGAGTTTTAAAATTCCAAATGGAACGAAGACGACAAGTCTTCGAACCGCAGAGAAATAAATTCATACATATTTGGACTGGGGGTGTGGGGTGCGTGGGGTGCGGTGGGCTGGAGGGGTGATGATAAGGTGGGTGCCCGGGATAGGAGTTCTCCGCGACCCACTGTAGTAAATCTGCATAACAAGAGAATCTACTCCAACCTAAGAGCCGCACGTTTACACCTTTAAACAATGACATGAATATTTAAAGAGCACGGTTAACCCTTTGCTTTTCGGTCACGTTTAAATTTTTTTAAACGTGTGCGCACACAGGCGCTCAGCTGGGGGAGCACGGTAAGTGGGGGTGGGAGGAGGTGCAGCCCCAGCCCGGTACCTACCTACCCCCAAGCCCCTAAGCCCAGAGAATAAACAAAGGGGTGGACACCGCGACCGGGGCATAGGGGCCAGGTGCCCGCCATGAAGCACACGTCGAGGCGGCCGGAGCGCGGACGGCGAACTCGGGGACACCTTAAATCT